CCCCAAAACCCCAAAACCCCATGTATGAATAAAGTAGCAGTAAGAATGTAATGTGAAATAAATGTGAATTTTTAGGATTTTAAAATGAATTAAGTTGTGCGACTTAATTATTAAAATATTCTATCGATTTTAATTAATTCATGGGCAATAGCTGCAAAAAGTGCTTCGAGAGAAGACCACAAAAAATTCACCCTCAACTTAAAACACCTAATCCAAAAGGGCATTAAAACTTAAATAACTTCATATCAGTTGACTAGGCAAGTCTATTTCACTTTCAGCCAGAGCAGTATTAGTTTAGACATCTAGGTAAGTAATTCGGCATCCAACCAATTACAATCTCACGTCCATTAATCTTATTAACAAATGTCATAAATTCTAATGTCTCATAATTAGATTCAGACGAATCAGATCGTTAAGAAGTAAGAGTAAGCATGGGTTGGAAAGTCAAAAAGGATTCCTCCTCTGGGAATACTGTATGGCAGGTCTCAGACCGCATAAGCCTCGATAGTAATCCAAAATAAGTTCTCAATACTCAATTATAGAAAATCGAAGGAGAGAAATTAGAAATATGACAATGGAGTAAGCCTTAATTCAAAGAAGCAATCTCTGTCTAGAGGAAAAGAAGATTTGGCTTCAAAAGTATCTTGGAAAGCAGAGGATTCCTTATGTGGATGATCGCGAAATTCTTGTAATTAATAGAGAGAATTTGGTCCAAGAATCCTTCGACGCCTTCCAAACTTTTATTGATTTAAATTTGCATAAGGAACTGCAGATATTTTTTGTGGGAGAAAAAGCTTAAGACGCAGGAGGGGTAGAAAGAGAATGGATAACTTAAATCGTATAGCATCTATTGTCTAACGAGTTTGGGTTGTTCAGGAGATTGCCTGGACTATAAGAGGTGACCTACTATTTTGAGATTAAAAAGGAAGAAGGAAATAAATAACTACAATGGTACTACTTCCTTGGTTAAATAGTGGGAAAAGCTCTATTTGATTAGGTGCCTTTAAATTTTCCAGTTTGTAAGGCGTTAATGAAGCTAATGATGAATAAAAATGTGAAGTTCACTTTAGAAGATCTCAGAAGTTACGACTCTCAAATATACAATAGTATCAAAATGATTAGCTCAACAAGTTTGACTCCTGAAGATATAAAAGCACTGATGATAAATTTTACTGTTGAAATATATGATAAAAATGGAACCATTATCTAGTATGCAGAATTAATCCCAGATGGGGCTAATACTTACATTAATAATGAAAACAAGCAACAATTCATAGAGCTGTTTATAGATTATCATCTAAGAAAAAGTGTGCAGAAGTAGTTTGAAAATTTCTTGCAAGGCTTTTCAACTGTAATAAGGCCAGAATCTTTGAAAATATTTGAAGAAGTAGATGAGTTTGAGTTAATTTTGTGTGGATCACCTTATGTTAATGTCGAAGACTGGCAAGATAATACACTTTACAGAGAGACACTCAGCAAATCAAGCTAAGTCATTCAATTCTTTTGGAAAGCACTAGAGGAATTGAATCAGGAAGATTTGAGAATATTCTTGTAATTTTGTACTGGATCTACAAGAGTGCCTATAGAAGGATTCAAGGGCTTAATTTCAAACAGAGGAAAATTGTAAAAATTCACAATTATTCCATCTTAAGAGGAAAACAGCTAGATGATCAAAGCTTAAACCTGCTTTAACAGAATATATATTCCACAGTTTAAAAGCTTAGAGGAAGTTCAAACTGCAGTAAACCAAATTATTATAAATAGAGAAAATTGGCTGTATTTTGACTACGAATGAGCACTCTATCTATTATATTAAATGAAGGTCAGGTACTACTGCCATGTTTTAAATTAGAGTAACTCTACTCTTTGAAATTCTTTATATTTGTAAATTATAGTAATTCCTTGCTTAGGTGTGTTATTATCAAGTATAATCATAAATTAATTCTTAAAAATACTCTTAATTTTTGTATTTTCATTCCTCCAAATAGAATTCGATTTTCCCTGACGGGGTTTTGGGGTTTTGGGG